TGCCATGGTGTATGCAGAGCACAGTCCTTGTACATGTTCAGGTTTTCCAGAATGAGTCACGTCTTTTTGGGTCTTCTTCATTAATCATCATTGCCGCTTTTGACCTGAAGCTCACATTGGCGAAACCTTGTGTGTGGCCGCCACACCACAGAGCCAAATGTTTATGCAACTTAGGATGTTGGATGTGAGGAAGAGAGACTCTGATTTTGACAAACACATAGATTGTACTGGTCACAGTGACTGTAATTGGGTTGACCATGAACTTTTCTTCTGAAACGCTAACCCTGGCAGCTCACCATCATTGCTCTTCAAAAGCAGCTGTGCATGCACTACCCCCGGATTTACGGGTTCAGTGTGTTGAGCATGGACTAAGCAAGCACACTTTCCAGGCACGAAAACGACAAAATGATACACCCCAGCGAGCCTCAAAGCACCTTCTCGTAGAAAACGGCCCACACATTGTCATCAGTGCACTGTGTTAGATGTACATAGGTATGTCTTGCAGCTAGTCAACCGATAAGGAAGAACATGAGTCAAGGTCAGATGGTTGACATGACCTAACCTCAACTCTCGGACATCAGAAACTGGACATCCGACGATCAAATCCCTGCGGTGCCGATGACTCTCTCCGATCCCGGATCGATCACCCCGGTGGTTCGACAGTGGAACTGCGCCACTTCCATCGAGGCAGTGAAAGTGAAAGCATCTCCTACTGCAGGCGGTTGACGTTCAGGGTTCATGCTTGGGGAAATAGGATGTCCAAGCATGACGTATACGTCACATGGTGACGCGGCGTGAAGAGCGAATTCGTAACTCTTGTTACTTCCAGTCTTTCGGAGAGCTGAAAGGAAGATAAAGAAAGCAAGGGTGTGTTCCATAACCAGCACCAGTCGATCAAGGATCCTCACTTTTTAGAAAGGCCTTTACTAGCAACCAGCATCCACTCTTAATGGGATCTATTGTGATCTATCCAAGTGGCATCTTAACAGAACTTAGATCCTTTCCCACCTGGCTACATGGCGTCATGGATCCCAGGCCACCTTTTCGGGGCTTTCACACGTTGTGACCGTAGCACTTCACCATTCTTCGATTTCTTGCGGCAGAAGGCCGAGAAGGCGAAAGCAAATGGAAGATCGCTTGGTACTGATGTGTACTAAGAGCGCTTTACGAACGGTATACTGATGCGTATCAGTAGACTTTCTTCTAAGATGTGAACAAAAAACATGGTTCAATACTCTTCGTCAACAACAATGGACCAGTCTGGACCAGTCAGAAGAGCGGTTTGCATCTTCAACTCATCCCTGTGGCCCAAAATAAGAACAAACCGGAATCACCCATGTGGCCAACGCATGTCATGCGACTTCGCCAGGCCGAAGTCCACTTGTTCGGAGTTGATGGAAAAGGAGCGAACGGTGAAGCGAACGGAGCGAAGTTGTTGGACCTCCTCAAGACTCTTGAGCAGCGACCAGCAGTTGGAGGATCGAGAGTAGAAAAAAACAGCAGATTGGGATCATTCATGATCCTATATGATCCTGAGTTCCATCTTTTTATGACTCTTTGCACTCTGTTTTCTGGAGGTCTCAGGAGTTGACTTTTCGGCTCCGGCTCGGTTGTTGCCTCCAAAACCACCTAGACACTGTAGACAGACCTGGATGGACGTCACTGTCCAGACCAAACGCGCTCCAGGTCTGACCTTAAGGCATTTCGGCCATTTCTGGGTGACCTGCTCCTTGGGCGACACCTGCCGCATGATCGGGGAGGTCAGCCCACTCATCGCACCCGTAACCGTCACGAAAGATGAAGCGCGTCGAGAGCCAACGCGCGACGGGTGACGATGATCGGTAGGACAAGTCACCGATGTCCGATGAAGGGGTGGAGCTTCATGACATGTTGGAAGAAAACCAGTGCAGTAAAGCTCCAAACAGATAAGGATCACTTAGATCTTATTGTCATAGATCTCGAGCTTCCCTGGAATTGTGGTGTCAGACAAGAGATGCTTGGGAGTATTCAGGCTGCATTGGTGGAAATCATGTTCCATTCGCTCCAAGACCTTCCGAATGGACTGTCTTGGACCGAGGGGGTGAAACTTCGCTTGGCCCGTCTTTTATAATAGTCTTAGAATGGTCACTGAAGCAATTGCTATGTGTGAAAATGGTCTTTCTGGATGGTGTCAGACATATCAAACATACCATGTTTGTGATACCCAACTGGCGATATCATATATCCCAAAACAAATACTTTGCATGGGGGTCTTTGGTAGCAACTCCTTGTGTCGGACACAACTCCAGAAGTTCCTCTCATTTGACACCTTCACAGCAATCCCCAATTCATGAATCCAAACATGAAGATTGACGAAGCAAAGATGTTTCTTGGATTGTCCCTTTGGAGGACCCTTCCTTTTTGCTGGCATCTGGTCAGTCAGCCCCTCCCTTGACCGAGACCCGACCATCCTGAAAACATTGGACCGGCGAAGTGGTTTTGCACACCTTTTGGGACTTTGGACTCTTTGGAGGCTTGACAAACCAGATGATTCGTCCAGAATTCTTCCAGAACTTCTCGAAGTCGTAGCTTTGACTTGATGACTTGATGACCCCCCAAATGGGGACCCTCGCAGGCCACACGCAGAAAGAACGAAAGCCAGTTCACGTCGATGCCGGACGCGTGACGGTCGAGGAAACTGCTTGGTGAACTCAGGAGGAGCAGCTCCGTCAGAGGGAGCAAGCGGCGAAAGCCAGGCTGCAGGTCGATGTGCATCTGGGGAGAGGATGGGTGTTGTTATGCTCTGTTTTGAGTCATATGAAATGATATGTATATGATATATTTTTTTGCATGTGTTATTACTGCAAGTAATCAGCAAACGATATAAATAGGATCTATTTTTATGTGACCTGTCACTTTTTCATACGACCTGCAGATGCCCCACGAAAAAAAACCATTTGTTATTGCACGAAGAAAGGAAGAACAGAGTTCACTTCTGCATTTTTGACCCAAAAAGAGAGCATCCTCCGTTCGGCATTTCTCGATGCCGGAAGGACGCTGGGGCCGAGTCGTGCGTATGTGCGTTTCCTCGGTGTCTTCGTGACGTCTTCCGTTTCGGGACGTGTCATTTTATTGGGCCCTACGGAGTCGGGCGCCCTAGATGTGAAGATGAAGTGCTCTTGCAGATTCTGCAAGGTTGATCTACTGCACACAGATGACAGCCACATGTTGTCCCCTGGGCAACGGTCTAACAAGTGGCTTGATGGGCTTTGACTACTAAGAAACACCTCCAAGGGAGGGGTTTGGAGAGGACAATCAGGTCTACTTGGTTGAATTCTCACACCTGTTGGGCCCAATCATCCTAGCTGTTGACCATTCAAAAGCATCTAGCGATGGTGGAGCGGGCTGCCGAGCCGAGCGGGTTCGGTACGTTTTCTTCCAAAGCGAACACAAAGTCTACCGGTTCTTCCATCACAGCAGAAACGTGAAAAGAACCATCACAACATATCACAACCATTCATCCCCCCACGCCGCTGTTTCGCCCCGCGAATGGGGCCAACGGCCCCACAAAGGGGGCCAAAAAAGGGGGGCACCAAAACACTGGCCACGCCGCCAGACAGCGCGGAAGGCGTCCGTCGCCCGTCGCCAGGAATTTGTACGCCGTCGGCAGCTGCGCGAGCTGCGGGGGATGTGAAGTATCCGTTCGCAGGTGGCGATGCCGGGCGATGGCGTGGGCGAGGTTGTTTTGGGGTGAAAGCAATGATAAGGGGAATTTTCTTTAGATCTGTCAGATACTTGAAAAGCCCTTACTTGGGATGATTGAACCCACTGACATCCAGGGACTAATAGTTTAAGTCATTTATAAGTGATTTGAAGGACTAAGCAGATGATACGTTTTGGAGAGGAGATGAGGACCAGCACCCAAACCAAACGTGTTTTTGGAATCCCTGTCCCAATCCAATGGGCCTGTATTCCCTTCTGAGAAGGCTTTTGTGAAGTACGGTCATTTTTAGCCTTTAGATAACACCAAACCGTGTTTGATGAAGGTTGCTGGGGAACTTGCTCGGGTTTGTGCTTGGTCTTTAAAGCATTTTGAAGCTATTATTGCAACAATGCCGATGCCTTCTTACCGAGCTTGAGATGTTGGATGCACTGACGAGCGGCCTGCGCTGGCCCCCAGCTCCTGTGAGTCAACCAAAGATCAAACTCAGCTGCTGTTGCTGGGACAGTGGACCCCAACAGAAACCTGTTTGTTGAGGAGACCATGAGAGGCTCCCTATTTACAGTGCAGGAACACTTCTCACTTCATTTGTTGCCCGCATGAAGTAGGGTTTGGAGTCAGGCTGCGTGTTGTTATTTGGTTGCGGTATTTATTTGATGCGTTGCGGACACCAAGTGGGGTGTTTTGAGTTCTCGTTTCAATCAGCATATCTGGAAAACATTAATGGTTAGAATGCAAGGTAAGGACAAAGAGAAGCATTGATTGACAGGGATGTAGTGGATAAATGGGATGAATGAGATGAATGGGATGAGGTTTTACAACAGACCTGTCCAAGCTTTACCTTGATGGTCGAAGATGATTTCCTGGCTTGTGTGAGGGCAACAATTGTCTTTTCTTGGGGGATATATAACCTGTACAACGTGCTGCAATTAGCTGGAGGTACACTTACAAGTAATTTCCAAGTCCACCATTGTCCACGAGTCTTTTTCAGCTGAGTTTACATCTCAATCCCTTTTGGTTTCACTTGCCCCATGTCCAGCGCTTTCTCCGAAGAATGGAGACTCGACCTCGAAATCGATGAAGGGCTCAACCGAAGGGCATCAAGCAAGTTGCCGCAAAAGACGCGGAGCGGGCCAACAGTCTTTCATCTACTTTTAACATCTTTTAACCTTGTACGGGGGTCTCCTGTTTTTTGAAGCAAGTGTTCCAGGCCCAATACATTTCTACAAACATCGACATCGTTCGAGCGTTCTCTTGGAAAGCCGACCATTTTTGCCCTATGTCTTCATTCTGCTTCCCCCAGGTATTGTCGACAGCGGTTCCTGGCGTTGGCTGGAAGTCGGAGCGCTTTGGCGGTGAAAAGAAGACCCGCCAGCGGCGGAGTGAGACGCCTCTCGTTGCAGGGCGTTCCAGAAGAGTCCCGCCTAACGCGGCGTTCCTGTCATGTCTGTCACGGTGCGGCGTTCCTGCTTGAAGCCGACCTGAAAGGTTTGGGACTGAGAACCAGTCGAGGGGTGGTTTTTCCACCACGTGGCCCAGGTGGCCTGTCGGGGGGTGGTTTTTCCCTATTGAAGTACACACTGATTGTTCCATGAAAAATAGCTTCCCTTCAGAGCGGCGCTGGAGATAACGCACGAAGTCTTCCACAATCGCCATCGGTGTGGTGATTGGTCGGACTTGGTCGTTTAAAGCTTTGATCCAGCGGTCTATTGGGATGGATGAACAGTCCACTCTTGGAGTCAAATGTAATTAATAACATGAGATACCCGTAGGTTTCAAGAAGGTGATAAGTCTCCTATTGTTTTGAACTGCCCACTTTCTTGTCTAGTCCAGCATGGCAGTGACTGCATTCTTTGGTACTTGTATGTTCAGCTTGCTCAATGGAGGCCTTGACCGAGGGTTTCCCTACTCTCGAGCAGCTGTTGTTTTTGCTTGTGTTCTGTAGTGAGTAGCGAGTAGTGATTCTAGAATCTGGGGGGGGAAGTCAAGGGCGAACTGCGAACTGAGACCTTCAGAGCAACATCAACAATGAATCAATAGCCAAGTATGAAGCAAGCAATAAACGGAGTTCTTCCCACCACCTGTTACTCGTGTCACTCTCGCTCTCACGCTGCACTTCTCAAGCTCGTGGTTGAGCCGGCGGCGCAACCCCCGACGCCCGAGCACGCTTTCTGGCGCGTGCGACAGAGGCCAATGGGCGGCCCCTCCGGTGGCTTGTGCAAAGTGATGAGGGGGTGACTGGGGGTGCAGCCTATCTTTGACCCATACCCGTGATGCAGATCTAAGAAAATAGATGTCCAGGTGCACTGTCGAAGTAGATTAAACCCGCATTAAGAGTGCGCTTTGGCAAGTCTTAGGGTTCCGTCGCTGCGGGTTCCTGCAACCTATATAGTGGAAGGGTAGTCAGAGTTATTTTTGCTTTGGTGTCCTGATTTAGAGAGCCATGCTGGACCATGGCTGTCGATCTGACATTCAATGTTGATACATGGACTCATGTCATATGAACCCGTGAAACTCTGCGGTGTCAATGGAGTTCACCGCATCCATTTCTGTAGAAAAATATTGATAAGAATGAAGCCAGACGATACTTCAACTCACTTTGTCACCAACCTGGAAACTCCTGAAAAGGTCTTTCTTCCTTTAGAATCTGCTTGAAGAAACGCTCCAGGCCAGTCGGTGGTTGTAGGTGTTGAAACCAAATCACTTGTGCAACTTGACATGAAGATTGTACACAATATATATATATAGTTTGGGTCGCCCCTCCTCCCGCTGGTGGGTTCAGAATGGAAAGAGAAAGGGTGCCGAACCTGAACATCCCCTACAGGTCCCTTTAGCTAGAGATTTTGTCCATCACTCATACATGCCAGGCTCTGGGGGACTATATAATTCAGCAATTGTTTTGTGCCTTGCTAGAACTGCAGGCTTCCAGGCTTACAGTTTTTGTCCTTTGAATTGGAGATGGAGATGGACTCCAACATCTTGCTCTTTCAACTACTCAAACTTCCATACTCCTGCCTTTCTGCATCACTCAAGAACTGCGGTGACATCAGAGTACCGCACCCTCCAGGAGTATGGCGAGTACCGCCGGGCCTTCTTACTCGCCGGAGGGGACGCGTCTCGGAGGGACGGTTTGCCGCGAGACTCGAAGACAGCAAGTCGAGAAAGCCACGAAGAGGCGAAGGTGTTGATAGTGGTAAGTGCCGACTAGCTTGAAAAAGAGAACATGATGAACATTCATTTTGCTATAGGGTTTGAGAAGCCTTTTCTTGTACGACGGATTGTCTGGGGGTCGCCTGCCGACACGCAGTCTCTCGCTGTCTCTATATAGTCACTAGACGTTTTCGGCCGTCTCGTTTGTCTTCAATACTCGACTATACCCTTTAGATCCCTTTAGCCTTGGTGACATGGTTTCACAAAGAAAGCGTTGGCCATGCTCAAGCTAGCTGCGCAACTGTTTCAAGGTCGAGTTTCTTCTGCGGTGTGTTTTTCCCGTTGGGGGTCTATGCTGGAGTAAACTTCTTTGCTGAAACTCATCATCAACATCAGAGGTCAGAGATCAATCTGTTTGCTCTCTAAACAATTCTAAACATAAGGTGGCCAAGGTGGCCCTAGGCTCGAAAAAACGACTGTATCGCCAATCTGGGATTCGATTGATCTTCCGAACATCCATTCCGCCAGGCAAATACCGACAACGCCTGGCGCAATCCAGCGGCGTCAGCAGCTCCAGGTGCCTGGCGCGAAGCCTTCCTCCGTTTGTCGGTGGCACTGACGGCGTGATGGCACTACTTGTCCGGGTTCGAACATCAGTGATCATGGGCTGCTGGGGTGGGTGTTTGCATGGTTTTGCTTGAACTATTGAAAAGATAAAATGACATATAGAGCAGCTGGTCACTTGTGCACTGAGTGGTCGGTATTTCTGGAACTTGTGACAGTTTTGGCATGTTTGCTTCCATGCGCAGAAACCACGCAATCATATAGAGTGTGTTTTGGTGACCAGTTTGGGGCATTTTGGGGCTTTGCTTGCGGGTCATGGCTCTTGCACCAAATGGTTTGATAGATGCTGTTTCGATGGTGTAACAAGTATATTTTGTGCTAGTTGTTTGTTCTTAGTGGCCGGGATATGCCGGGATTTGGTGTTCCAATTTGAGCCATGACAACCCTCATTTGGTCGAGATAAATGGACGCGGTTGGAAACCACAGTCGATTGGTCCAGTGGGCACGAGACAACGCTACAAGTAACAAGAAGCAACTATAGTAGCAAGGTGCATCGCTACCTAGTAGCACGGACGCTACTAGTAGCTCCTGGCACTAACAAAAAGCTACTATTAGCAAGGCACCTTACTTCTAGTAGCAAATATAGCTACTAGTAGAGATAGGTCCTCCGGGACAGCTCCTACCACACGAGACCTCGAAGAGGTCCGTCGCACGTTTGGACTTGGATATCTACAGCAAGCAGGTAAAGTTGAGGTTTTGAGCCTGGATATCTACAGCACGTGGAAGTGATTTTTTTTGATGTTTTGTGGAACTTTGTAAGTTCCAGGTGCCCTTTCACTAACAAACCTTAGATGGTGGGGGTGGCTGAACCCCTGCGCAGGCCTTCACATAGAGACTGACAGCTTTGAGCCGCTCTGTTTGGAAGATTGCTGAAGAGTCCTTAAGTAACAGGTGGTCATTTTCCACTACCAAGTTTCTTGATGTGTGTGTGTGTGCCTTGATGTTTCTTGGAGGAAGGGTCATACAATCTATATACTATATACACATTAAGACTTGTTAATCCACTTGCAGACAGAGGTGAAAGTAGCAATGACCCAACTGATCATCAGCTTGCCATCCTTCAGCCGCACCCGGCCACACAAACCTGTGCATGTTTGTGGCCCTCTTCAGGGCTTTTGAGTCCGACATTGGCAAGAAGATCTTGATGAAATATGGTTGGAGGGAAGGCGTGAGCCAAGCGTGACGTTTCATATCGCTTCGTGCAGTCAGGCTAAAGCATGTGAGTGTAGTTGTTTGATGCTGTTTGTTTGGTGTGTGGTAGGGGTCTGAGACTTGCCAGCCTTTGCTCCAGCAAGCTGGGACATGCTTGGACAAGGACATGTTCCAGTTCCCCGAAACTTTCCCTTCCATGTGTTTTCCTTCAAACGACCCTAGACACTCCATGTAATATATGGACATACACAGCTGCATCAACCCCTGAAAGGCATCCCCCCAGCAGTCCCATAGAGTGTTTAGGAACCGCTGTGGCCCTGTCAGGACAAGGCCTTGGCCGGCTGAAGAATGGCCGGACGGAATGTGTCCAGGCGGGACCCAGTTCTTCGGATGCGGCGGGCAGGGACTTCGGACTTTGGCTGAAGTCGCAAAGCACCCGAAAGGCACTCGACTTCTACTTTACTCAGGCACCCCCGGTTGGTGAGGTCCGATCCACAAAGACGGGGTAAACTTGTTGTTGCTTTCATCATTGAACTCTTCAATGCTTGAAGCTTCAAGTGACGTGCTTTCCAGATCAAAATAAATAATGGTGGATCGCCAACAAAACCACCTTCACGCCCAATTTCAATGACACCCCCTCAGCGGGATCCCCCCAAAAAGACCACCCAAAACACCACGTTGCGGTCGACACGAGTTTACCTTTTTCTTTCTTTCCGCACGGAACACGAGGACCGGAGCCGTTATTTTCCCCAGTGGGACCGAACCATCTCGGTCTTCGACCTTCACTGGGATCCAACCGGACAGGTCCAACTGGACGGGTCCGGATGGCGTCGGACGCCGTGGACCGGTCGGTCCCACGTGTTGTTTGCTTTTCTCAGGGAGAAAGGCGGGAGGAAAAGAAGGGCCTGGGCGTGGAGAAGAGGAAGTCCGAGGACGGGTCAGAGGTCCGTGTTTCTTCGGTCGCCTTGTTCGATGATGTTTTTTCGAGAGCGGTCCGATGTTCCGATGGCGGTCGGATTCTCCACAGCAAACCTGGAAAACATGTCATGCTGGTTGTGTGCTGGCTTTCGTGCCCATCGTTTCTGCTTGTAATTAACCCCTGCCCCGTGCAGCATGTCCATGCCTTCACACGTTTCGTGGCCCCCTTCTCAGATGATCCTTGATCCTTTGGTGTGTAGGTGTGAGGTGACTGGAGCCTGTGAGGTTTGGCCTTATTCCGTGTTTCGCCATTTGGTGCCCATGTATTTTTGTGATCCATTTTGAATTTGGGTCATGTGTCTTAGACATGCAGGATTGTTGTCTTGCTCGCCTTTTTGCATGTATCCTCTTCTTTGTTTCATTCGGTCAAGCCACTGTATACGCATGTGATCCTAGCTTGGCATCTCAGTGGGGATCGGGTTTCATGTGACTTCAAGAAGAAAGAGTTACGGCTGACGAGTCTGGTTTCACGTGGCTGTTGTACATTTGTTTGGTCTGCTCCAGGAACAGTGGGACAACTGGTGGGCCGATTGCTTCAACAGTGTGGCTCGGGGACCTGTGGCAGCTGTCAGGTGTGGCTCTTAGGTGAAACTCTGGGATGCCCATGAACACACCCACAGACCAAAGCAGTGCTCTGAAGACCCCCCTCAAATCATCTCTTTGCGGTCCAGTTTTGCTAATTTGGAGGGAAGCCTGTGACCGCTTATTCTGAGTATTTCTGCCTGGGTGATGTGTGAGTTGACCCTTACTGTAAATGTCTCAAATTTAGTCAATATTCTGGGCACTGGTCTCTACTGAGTATTGTCATGTATTGTCATAAGCTGAAGTGTGGGAGGATAAGTTGAGCATTGCGTTGGCTCAAGCAAAGGATGCCATCCAACGCCACCGTGACACGTGGTTTGCATTGGTTTGCTGGGTGGTTTCCTTTGCAGTAGACCAGTTGACTGCTGCAATCATCCAATTTGACATCCCTCTATCAGCCACATCGACCATCGCCAAAATCTGTTGGAACATCTGGGAATTCCGGCAGCACCTCCGCACCGCTTGTCCGTCGCGTTCTTCGCCGCGCACCGCGACTCGCTCCACGCTCCACGCTCCACGAAACGCTCGGCCCACCTTCGACTCCCACGACCCAACCGGCGTGCGAGGCCAAGAGCATCTCCGTCAAGGCCGAGAGCCGTGCTGAGAGCAGCGATAGCGACAGTGAGGCGCCTGAGAAGGCAGGTCCTCTCGGGCTCTGCGGACCGGATGAGGCTCTGTGGATCGCTCATGGCGAAGCATGAGCTGTTCCAGACAAGAAAATACATGGGGATCTGTTGTAGTGCCATTGACACTGGTGGCTCAGGTAGAACCTTTTTGAAGGGCATGTGACATGGATGATAAACAATCAGACCAGATCTCATCAGATCGCATGTTCCTCTTAGAAAACATGTAGAAGCCCGACCAACTCTATCCATTGGAATCCATGCAGATCTCGAACCGTTGGACGTTGGCGTTGGACCTTTGATCCCTGAGGGCTCGGAGGGAGGCCGCATCACGGCTGTGAAGAAAGCCGGAGCTCGGGAAGCCCGGGGTTTTTGTGATTCCATCGAGCGAAGTCAGCGATAAGCAAGAAGATGTCAAGATAAGAAGCAGGGTAGGACCAGGTGGCTGGGGTGCTCAGACTCACGAAGAAAACAACATAGTTGGTTCCAACTATGTTCAAAACATATCGAAGAAACAACATTCCTTTTGATTTCCTTTGTGTCTCCTGCAGGCAGGCCTGCGACTGGCAATCCTGTCTTGAAGGGAGCGACTGAGAGGAGCGGCGGTTATTTTTGGATGTTGGGCCATGGCACCGGAGAATCGTGTGCCATTCCACGTGCCCGTGTGGTGAAACGGTACGGCACGTTGTTCTTTCAGCGGGATTGCCCCTTTCAGGACACAACGACGACATGTTTCCAGAGCACTTAAGAGAGGTGAAGTGACCTTCTAAGACCCCACTGGGGTACGTATGGGATAGTCGAACTAGGGTCCTTCAACCTTTGTTGGTAGCTGCCTTAGCTGCCTTTTTAGCATGTCAGCAGTGGAAACAGGGTTGAGCTGAGGCCATGAAAGGCAAGCTCCGGCGGGTCTTGCGCCAAGAGAGTCGCTCGGCAGTGAAAAGAAGCGGCGGTCCATCAGCCTGGATGTTGCCAGTGCTGGAGACATGATGGATGTTGAGTGCATGAGCGTGGCATGTGTCTTCGTTGTGTGCAGAATTTGAGCGAGCGCAGAAGATGTCCATGCGATGAAACGAGATGTCCCAGAACATGTGTCACAGCACTTTCCTAGGGGATGGACATTCGTAAAACTTTTGAAGCCTTTTCTGTTTGTGCGAGTGCGCGGTTGGGTCGGGCAAAACAACCGAAACCATGAAGATACCAAGATCTTCCGCGACCTTCAGGGTTCTCAAATAACACGGTTTTCTCATGTTATCTCAAGATGGTTGTGCATGGGTGTGTATGGAAAAAGGGTGGATGTTGCTGCTTCTGCCGTGTTCCTGGCCCTCGTCCTCGTGGTTGATGTTGGAGCTTGGAACATGTTTTTTTTCGGGTCCAAGGTTCCCCAGCTCTTTGAGATGCAGGATGATGCAGGCAGCCAGGGGTGCGGAAAAACCATGCGATGTTTCAACGTGCTTGTTGACCGGGCGGTCATGGGACCAAAAGAAGCAGGGACATTGGATAGCATGGACCAGCAGCCATTGCTTTCACGCCACTACATCCTGGAAGCCAGTCCTGCAAGTCCAACTTGATTGAGTTCCAAACTTCTTGTGCTTTGAGTCAGGTTCCCGGACTCTTCTTTTCAGGAGTGGAGGGGTCACCAAGCAAACATGGTATACGGATGTATAAAGAGTGTCTTTTTTGCCATTGCCAGAGACATGAGGTTGAAACTCCACATGCAGACTCACTCAAGATGTCCTCACTTTAATTGCATGATTGAACATGATCTTGGCGTTGATATCTGTTGGTTTTCATTCTACTTCAGGAATAAGACAGGTTGGTAATTAACAACATCCCTTGAGAATCTCATTGACATGACTTCTCTTTCCCGCTCGAATTCCGGCGGAGTAATTTCCACCTCGAACTAAACTATATCCCTCCAAGTCAATGATCATTTAGAATTGGAGATCAAGAACACTAGTTAGTCTAAAGGAACCTAGTTTTACTTGGTCTACGTTGGCAATTCCAGTATTTTTTTTTTGTGTCGTGTGTTTGTCGTTGCCGCATTTCTCCTTCTTGGCTCAGCAGCCCAAACGCCCCAGCAGCCCCCACTGCTTGGCCCTCAGAGAGTCAATTAACCTTTCAACCTATTGTGATAACCCTTCAACTCATAGATTCAACATAAAGCAATCCTTTTTTCTCAGATCAGAAAAAGAAGAGGTTGCACGGGCAGTCATGGGTAGTAGTCATTTTCTGTCAGGCAAAGTCCACCGTAGTCCACGTAGTCCAGCATCCAGGCAAAGTCTGAACATCATCCAGCATCCACCGTAGTCCACGTGTCCCTTCACCCAAACGCACTCTCTCCGATAGCACAGCATTCCCAGCAGCCCCAGCAGTTCCAGCAGTCCTCATTCTCGCTTAGGCCTGACGTGCTCCTGCTTTGGTCGCCCAGTTCTTCTTCCTCTTTGTGGGGGCCAGGGCCTGCTTCAATGCCGAGATGTTTCTTGAAGTCTTGGGCCTGGCAGGAGCTTGCATGCTTAGGACTCTTTGCAACATAATAAACCATGTACGACATTGATGACAATGACATTTATAAATAATAGGTCTCGCGCACGGGTCCCTGGACATTCATTAGTCGATTACACACAGAAGAACTTCAGCTGGTGCTTCGGGGGGCTCAACCTGTTGGAGGCGAGCTTTTTCCCAGGCCGTCGGAGGGGCCCTGACGCTGCTGATTGTTTGGCGAGTTGCTTGGAGAAGATCAGCACTGCTGTTGAATTTTGAGGAATGAGAAGAAAATTGCTTCAGCTTTCTGTAAACTTAAAAGAGAATTGCATATTTTAGTTAATTTCCATGGCCTTGGGGGTTTTGGAAGACCCAAGGCATCACCTTTTTCGATGGCTCCATCATTGAGGCGGCCAGAGACATTGTGGGCAAGATGCCTCCAAGGCATGCAACTGCAGCGGCTGTTGGTGGCAGCTCGGCCCGCTGATGAGCCATGGTTGGGTCGACCCCTCACAAAATAGAATCAATTTGAAGAGGATCTGGATTTGTTTCGTTTTGCGGGCTTTTGCTAGGTGTCTTGCTGCGTGCGGGGGCTGCTAGAGCAGCTCACAGAAGCCCAAGCCACCACCAGTGGAATCTGGATTGTGGATACGCTTTTGCACCCTTTCCTGCTCATTGGAGCCGCCGTGGGTACACATTCCAGGAACAGCAGGACAGCCTTTGGTGGAGGCAAAACATGAACTCTGTTTCAATTTATAAACTTAATGTTAACATTGTGAAGAAAAGCCGATGATGTTATACTAAGTGAAATTCATGGAGCGTGTGCCGACCTTGGTTGCAGGACACAGTGTGGCGAGGATGGGCTTTGCCTGTCAATGATGCTGGCCGGCTCTTGCACATTGACCTTTATGCCAAGGATGTCTTGGCAGTTGGTCGGGCCTACTTGGAGCTCTGCCAGATTAAGCGGACAGCCCAACTGGGCCGCGGCCCCTTGACAGACTGGCTGACCAGCAGGTGCCAGTGCCAGTGGAGGTGCGCAACAAGGCAGCGGTGACACGGAGCTTCTTCACCACTGGATTCGCACCGGTTCGTGATGCCCAGATCGCAGCAGTCACTTACACAGTGGAGATGCAGAGGGTCGCGAAATGAGGAGTGGAGCGATTGGAAGGCGGCACCAACAGGCCCGCAGACATACAGCGTGTGGGTCTCGGCAGAAGGGTTCTTCTATGTGCTCAGCTACCAGCCCGATCTGGATCTTGCAGGCCTTGAACTGATGTTTGTTCCAAAGTAGTAGTAGTAGTAGTAGTAGTAGTAGTAGTAGTAGTAGTAGTAG